CGCCAAGGGTGAAAACAGAGCTGCAAGCTCCTGAGCTGCATTCTGCCCCCTCCTCTTGAGTTTGCATCTCATTGCTGGGTTTGCAACATGCCTAATCTCTGCGTGTGCAGACTCAGAGGAGCCAGCTGAGAGGGAGAATTGCCAGAAGCTTGGAGTCCTCTGCGAGGCCTTCAGACCACCCCTCCCCCAAGCCCCTTCCTAGGCAAGCAGGGCCAGAGCAGTCTGCAGAAATGGTTGCTGGAGCTTCACCTGGCCCAGGCCTGGCAGTGCCCCCCCTGGAGATGAAATCAGTGAAGGACGTAGCCCTTGTTCAGTCTCTCTGGTATTGCCACATCCCATCTTTTTCCTCCCTGCTTCCATGGTCTTTCATTGCAGACAGAGAGTAGTTGTAATAAAAATCAGTCATACAAATCTTGGTTCTCCTAGCAGCTGGACTCCTCCAAGAATGGAGAAAACCTGATTGTGCAGACAATCAATAAATATGTGTCAGATAATGAGAACTCTGTAAGCCATCCTCTTTCCCTTTTTGCTTTAGCTGCCAGGAGGCTCAGAACTGAACGGAAAGCTAGATCACTACTGCCCATGTAGCAGACTCTTGGGTTAATGGGCATAACTTTTTTTCTATGAGGCCTCTGGTGGTTTAATTGCCCTGTGTGGTGTGTATGTATGTGTTATAAATCATCACAAACCTACAAACTGATGAAGGTGGGATGTACATGAAAAATAAAACTTCCTCTCAAACATTTCCAGTTTCAGATGCTCACTTTTTTCCAGGAGGATGGTTTTCCCAGGATCATTTAAGATTTAGAAAAATGTCCGTGTACCTCTTTTTCTCTATCTTTCTCTCAGTCTCCCTTTCCCTCCTGACGTTTTTCTGTTCTTCTTCTCTCCAGCTTACCCTCCACCCTTTATTCTCTTAATTTTGCCTACTTTCCCTTCTCCTTGTTTTAGTCACTCTTCCATGCCCTCTCTCCTCTCTCCTCCTGCTGCTCACCATACCCTAACTTTTATCACCTTTATTGCTCATGGGAACAGCCAGGTAAGTATGATTACCTCCCTCTTACCAGGAAAGAATTAAGGTCTAGAGAGTTTGAGTGAAGTGCCTGTGGTAAAGCTGCTTATACTTTGCAACTTTTCAGATTCTGACCCCAGGTCCCATCTTTCTTGCCACCCAACTTGCGTGGCAGAGATTACCAAGAGACTGTCCATAGAGAAGAGGATGAAAAACAATACCCCACACTCCCTTCTGTGGTTTCTTAAGAGTTAAGGCTCTAAATGGACTTGGCAGGACCTTGGGGGAGGGAGAGCAGTAAATTCCCCCAACCCCAGAAACATTGTGGTATGGGTCATTTGGACATAAATTCATCTGATAAGTGTTTGTTGGGATATAGTATGTGCTAGACAAGACTGAGAGCAGAGTAAGGGGAGCAAGGCACCTAGGGTATAAAATAAAAGGGGGCATTCACTCTTAGGTGCCAAGCCCGCAAGCGTGGTCCTTGAGAGCAAATGTCCCCATAAAGTCCATGGCCTAGCATCTTGCTTGTCTCTAGCTTGGTGCCGGTGCCAGGCAGTGGTGAGCAAAAGGGAACTTACAATCTATTATGAGTAAAGGAACTTCATGCTAACCAAAGACTGTTCCAAGTGTGACAGGTGCCCGGAGGAAAAGGATGTGGGACTAGAAGAAGGTATTATTATGAGGTGGGGGTGAAGGGTGAGGGGTGAGGATGGGTAAGGAGTTTTCCACATACCCTGCAGTAGGGGACACAGCAAGTTCACAGTTCGGATGGAGCAGGAGAGCCCAGTGCAAAATGTTCCATGTGCCTGTTCTTTTTTTTTTTTTTAAAGATTTATCCATTTATACAAGAACTGGGGTACAGGTCAGAGGCACAGGAGGGTGAGAGGATTCACCAGAGAAAGAGTGGGGAGCAGAACAGGCAGACAGACTGAAAGCAGTGCTGAGGGGAGCAGCAGGCGAGACATGGGAGGTCTGCTGTGCCATGTGGGTATCTCCCTGGCCGGCCGGAAATGGAACCTGCCCTGCAGAGGATGCGGACAGCCCCACAGCCATGCAGTCAACCTGCTGTGCTCAACCTGCTGTGCCACTAGGGAGGCCCATTGCACCTGTTCTAATCAAGTGCCAGTTTGCAAATAATTCACTTAAAAAGTAATCCAACCCAATGGAGAGAAGTCAAAGCCACCCCTTAAGGAAGTCACTCATAGCCACCTTCCTCACCAGCTTTCTTCAGGAAGAAGTCCAGAAACCCTGCCTAGCTTCCTCCAAACCCATGCCTGCCCCTTTAAGGTGGCAATGTCTGTGGTAGAGTCCAGTATTTGCCACCTTAGCCAGAAGAAAACTTGGCAGCACGGGGATGTTAAATGGCCTGTTGTATTAGTTAGCTGGGACTGCGCGACGCTGTAGTTATAAGAAAAATAATGATTGACATTCAGATGACCAATTCTGTATCTCCCCTGAGGTTTCTGACTTAAGGCTCCCAAAGCTTGGAATTTCTTAAGTGTAGAGGGCGATTAAGGTGTCTTTTGTTATATAAATGAGGTGTCTTTTGGAAGCACCTACGGGTGGGGGTGGTTGCTTGGAAAACCCACCCTGTGATTAGTCGGTTGGAATCTCCAGCTCCACCCCCTGACATCGGGGATGGAGAGGGCAGGAGATTGAATACAATCACGAAAGGCCAATGAATTACTCAGTCATATTTATGTAATGAAGGCTCCATTGAAAACCCAGAAGTGCAGGGTTCCAAGAGCTTCCAGGTTGGTGGACACAGGGAGACCTGGGGAGAATGGTGCATCTGGAGAGGGCACGGAAGCCGCTGCACCCCTTTCCACATACCTTGCCCTGTGTATCTCTTCCATTTGGCTGTTCCTGAGTCAGATCCTTTTAATAATAACCTAGTGACCTAGTAAGTTTCTGAGTCCTGTGAACTTTTCTAGGAAATTGACCCCTCCCAGGAGTGGATCTTGGTAACACCTGATTTATAGCCAGTGGTTTGAAAGCACAGGTACTAACCTAGACTTGCAGTTACCATCTGAGATGGAGGGGGTCCTTGGAACCTCCTATTTGTACTAGACTGGGGAGCACAGGCATCTTTAGTGGGGGTTGGGGAAAGGGACAGTCTTAGCAGACTGAACCTTTAGCCTGTGGAATCTGATGTTTTGTCCAGGTAGCGAAAGGTTCTGTTGCATTCCGGCTTCCTGCATGGACCTTTCAGGTAGAGTGTCAGAATTGAGCTGAAATCTCAAGCACCCAGCTGGAATTTGAGCATTGCATGTTCGATGCATTGCATGTTCTAGCTTACCTCCCCTCCCCCAACCATAAATACACATTGGAAATTGGGTCCAGGCACTCATTAAGGCTGTCATAACATTATCCCATGGGTGGGGGAGGGATGCTTAAACAACAAACACTGATTTCTCACAGTCCTGTTCCTGGTGACAGCTCTCTTCCTGGTTTGCAAGCCGGTGCTCTCTCTGTCCTCAGGTGGCAGGGAGAGCCCTGGCGCTCTTCCCCTTCTTATAGGGGCACCAGTCTATTGGATTAGGGCCCCACCCTTATGACTCAGTATAAGCTTTCTGTTCTCATAGACCCTGTCACCAAATACCTTGAGGGTTAGGGCCTCAACCTGTGAATTTCAGAGAAACTCAAACATTCAGTTCTTAACACCTGCCCAAGGCCAGTCAGTGGGATTGGAACCAGGCACTGCTGCTCAGGACGTTGGGCTCCTAACCCCTAGATTTTTCTGCCTGCGGATGGGTTGTGTGTGAGGGGCCCGCGTGTAAGTGAGATGCGCTCCTGGGGCAGAGCTGCGTCGTGATCCTCTACTAACCCATAGGGCGCTGCCCCACCTGGCGGCTGGACAAGCTGTGGGCTGAGGTGTGAACTCACTTCTGGGTGAGCCCCGTGATCCTTTCAGAAGAGGACCGTGCCGAGGTGAAGCACACCTGCAATATGATGCATGAATGTGGGGGCTTCGCCTGTTTTCAGTTTACTCAGGACGTCCCAGGGGCCACTCTAGCTTCCTTGAGGAATGGACCGCGTCACCTTGGACAAGTCACTTTACATCTCCCAGACCTAGGTTTTCCCCTCCGTGACCCCCAACTCCCGGCGAGGGGCTGGGGGCCATTCCGTGGGCTACGCGGGCCACCGAGCACCAACCGTGGCGCCCCTTGCCAGGCCCCCAACCTGGGCGCGCAGGCGGGGCGGGGGCCGGCGGCGGCGCGCGGCGGGGCGGGCTGGGTGTGCGCTCGGGTGGCGCCGCAGGCCGCGCTGCAGCCCTGCGGAGTCCGGGGCGGGGGCGAGCGCGGGGGGCGCGCGGGGGGCGGGGGCCGCTCTCGCAGTTTGCGGTCCGGGTCGCCTCGGTCGCCCGCCCGCCCCGGGACCCAGCCCCCCCGGCGCGATCGCCCGCGGGAGACGCCCGCCCCGCGCCCCCCGGCCCGCGAGGGGGCCGGGCCCCCGGGAGGGGCTGGAATTCCTTCCAGGCGGGGCCCCTCCCGGCCGCCAGCCAGCTGCGCGCCCCGGGGCCGGCGAGCAGCCACATGCCCCCGCAAGGAATGCCGGGCCGCGCGGGGCGGGCGCTGGGCAGGGCCGGCCGGCCGGGCGGGGAGCTCCCCGCCGGGAGGCTGGTGAGAGCGGAGGGCGAGCCCGCGCCCCACCCCCGGCCCCCCGCGCCGCCGCCGCCCCGGCCCGGCCCGCCCGCCCGCGGGTCCCGCACTTTCCCCGCCGGACACGCGGCCGGGACGCCCGGGGCGGGGGCGGCCCGGAGGCCGGGGCCGCCCGCGCCCCCTCCGCGCGCCCCCGGCCCCGCCGGCTCGGAGGAGGGGGCCGGCCGTCGTGCTTCCCCACACCCCTCCCCGCCGCCGCTGGCTTTGGGGCCCCGGTGGGGAGCAGCGGGCTGATTAGCCGAGGAGCAGGGGTGTGGCCAGCGGGGCCGGGGCAGTGAGTCACACGCGCGCTCGCCCAGTCCCGGGCCGCGCGCGGCCCCAGTCCGGGCATCGAGCCTCGCGCCGCCTGGCCTCAAGAGTGTCCCCGGGCCTGGCATGAGGACGCTGGGGTTCCGAGGGAGGGGCTGACACCCAGCGCGGTGGTGGAGGCGGGCGGTAAGCAGTGGGCTGGGAAGACGCCCCCAGAGAAAGTGGGGTGGGGCTTGGAGTCGGGGCGGGCCTGCCAGCCCCCACCGGGACCCCCAGGCCCCGCCTGTACCTGCTCCGAGCTGGCGAAGCGGGCCTGGCTGCATTCCCTGGCAGCTTCTGGGTGAGGGGCTGGGCAGCAGGCGCCGAGGCCATTTCGAGGGCCCGCCCACCCCGGGCCCAGCTGGACTCCAGCAGATCCCGTCCCTGCTCCCCACCGCAGACTTGCGGGGCGGCTACTGTGCTTTTTCATGCCCTTTGCCCTTTGGTCTCGGGGTCCAGGCTGTACTTTCCAGGCCTCCCTGCTGGCCTGAGCTGTCCCTCCGCCCCTGACCCCGTGGGGCTGGTGGCTCCAGCCATCCCCAGGACCAGCCCGGGATAGAAATGGCATTTCCTCTTGGCCGGGCTACAGCTGTTTTTGTTGTCTGTGTTCTCAAGCGCTTCCTCTGGGGATGGCAGGGAGGGTAACCAGACTCCACGGGACCCCCGCTTGCCCTCTCCCCCACTCACCCCTCTTCCCTGTTTCTTTGATCCTCTTCCTGTGCTGGTCCCGCCTTCCGCGTCCCCAGGACAGAATGACTGAGAACATGAAGGAGTGCTTGGCGCAGCCCAAGGCGGCCGTGGGGGATATGGTGACCGTGGTGAAGACCGAGGTCTGCTCGCCCCTCCGCGACCAGGAGTATGGCCAGCCCTGGTGAGGCCCCGCGTGGGGACAGGAGAGGGGGAAGGGGCATGGCTGGGCTGGGTTGGCTGGAGACCCTGGGGAGAGCCCCACTTCTGCCCGCCTCCCTTAACCTGCTCTGGGCAACTCCTGGGCCCAGAAGTGAGCTCTGGCTCCCGATGGACCCAGGAGCCCAGGAGGTGTGGGTTCAGGTCTCGACTTCTCTCTCTGCTGCCACCTGCACTGAACAGGCAGGCCGACTGGGCGCCTCTGCCTTCTCCATGACCCCATGATGTCCCGGCCAGGTCCGCAGCTCCTCTGCCCACTGGCCTCTCACTCCCTGACAGCTTCTTTGCTTTCTTTACTGGCCCCTGTCCTGGCAGCTCTAGGAGACCGGACCCCTCAACCATGGAAGTGGACCCCAAGAAACTGAAGGGGAAGCGTGACCTCATCATGCCCAAAAGCTTCCAGCAAGTGGACTTCTGGTGTAAGTAGAACTTGGGGCTCTTCCTGGGCTGCCCCTCCCTTTGCCTCCCACCCCCTTCTCTGTGTAGAGAATTTGCGGGAGTAACACACGCTCACCTATGATGAACCAGACATGGGCCCAGGGCTGGTTCATCCTCACCATTGGTCACTGAGGGGCCATTAGTGGCCAGCTGAGGGTACAGGGAGGTGTGGTGAGGGGCAGCACCTACCCCGGTCTCCCAGCCCACACATGCATCATTGCCTTCCAAACCCAGGCCCATCTGACTGCAAAATCTTGCATTCTGCTCCTTTTTCAAACTGGAAACGGAGGGAGCTACTGGCTTCTTTAGTCTGGGTAGACGCATTCTTTGAGCCTCTAGGGAGAAACATGGTTTTTGCTGCTGAAAACCCAGTGGCCTGTGGCTGACTGGGGTGGAGCCAGGGCTGCAGCTCCTGTGTAGTACACTTTCCTCGGGTCTACGCTCTTGTCAGGGTGGGCTCCTCATCATTCCCTCAGCCACCTCCATGGGGGTCCTACCACTTGTCAACAGCTGAGGCTCTTTCTCTTTCCATCCCTCCAGTCTGCGAGTCCTGCCAGGAGTACTTTGTGGACGAGTGCCCCAACCATGGTCCCCCGGTGTTTGTGTCTGACACGCCGGTGCCTGTGGGCATCCCAGACCGGGCTGCCCTCACCATCCCGCAGGGCATGGAGGTGGTCAAGGAGGCCAGTGGTGAGAATGACGTGCGATGCATCAACGAGGTCATCCCCAAAGGCCATATTTTTGGCCCCTACGAGGGGCAGATCTCCACCCAGGACAAATCAGCGGGCTTCTTCTCCTGGCTGGTGAGTGTGCCCCGCTGTTCCATGGGAGAGGGTGCTGGCACGCGCGAGAGGAAGCCAGCAGGGGGAGCTGTTCTCTGGCCCAAGCATTTTTCACTGCAGACTTGTGGCTAATGGCTGCTGCTGTCCCCTTGTGGGAGCAGAGTGGCGGAGACCCTTGGTGGGCAAGGCCATGCTAAGGAGCCCTGGCAGTCGTCGGCAGAATCAGTGGAGGGGCGCTTTCCCCATGAATCCTCGTGTGTGTCTGGCCAGCCATTCATGGCATGAAGGAAGGGCTTACCCAAGCCCTTGTCTGGAGAGGGTGACTTGTTGCTGGGGGCTTTGGGGGTGCATGACGTTCAGCTGGAGACGCAACAAGCCCAGGTGCTGGAGGTAAAGCCTTCAGCACAGGAGACATGAACCCTGCCCGCAGGGAGCAGCCACTCTGGTGGGGAGAACAGGCGTTCTACCCGGGTGTCCATGTGTGGCAGATGGTACCAGTAGGGAGTCCTGGATGCTCTGGGAACAGGGGGAGCTGGCTTATCGAGCTCAGGAATTGGGGGGAGCCCGAGTTCAATATTTCAGCCTGCTGTGCTCCTCACTGTCTATCTAATGCGACCTTGGAGGTGTCACTTAGCCTCTGTGCCTGTTCTGTAACAGGATAGTCGAGGGTGATAGTGAAGATTAAATGAGTGGATGCTGTAAAATGCTTAGACTCACACTTGCCCTTGGTATCAGTACTGCGGCCGCTGTCCTAGTGGTAGCGTTGGCCAAGGTTCTCTTTAACTCAGATCCTGAGCAATCAGTAGCGGTTAGTGGATGGGGGATGGGAAAGTGCTCCACACGGACAGAAGAGCAGAGAGAGGGGAACTCAGAGAAGTCTCCAGTGTGATGCCAGCAATGAGCCTGCGAGGCGGGGGGCAGGAAATCGTCAGGAGAGGGAGGCAGAGGCCAGATCAACGAGGGTTCCGGGCCAAGGCACGCGCAGCCTCATCCTGCGGGCCAGGAGGCCACCGCTGCCTTTCCAGCAGAGGTCGTGGGTGAGAACAGGATGCCAGGTCGGAGGCTGGGTGGGGGCTTCAGGTGAGAAAAGATGGTAACTTAAGCTCAGGTGCTGTGGGTACACCGGAGAGAGACTTAGGAGGGGGAATTCTCAAGATTTATTGATGGAATGTGGAGGCGAGGAGGAAAGGCTTTCAAAGACGTGAAGAGGAGCGCTTGTCAGAGGGGACTCGGGCCGAGCTTGATCAGAGCGGGAAAAGGGGTACAACAGAAAGAGGCGGGCTTGGGGTAGGAAGGCTGTTCATTACTCATTGAGGGTGTCCATCACTCTTGAGGGTGTCCTTTGAGCCAGGCTCTGGGCTGGCTTGGGATTTGTTTGTGGACCGGTTCGAACATTAAATTTGCCCTCATAATTCTACTGAGGGGGAGAGGGAAGGAATCAAAGAATAAGATAAATATATGTGAAAAATGGGAATTTGCAAAATGATGGCGAGACAGTGAGGCTAGGAGAATGTGAAGAAGCAGGGGAATCTATGTGGCCAGAGGCTGGGGAAGGCTTTCTGATGGTTGAGCTGTGGTTGAAGGAAGAGCGCGCTCACCAGGTGGAGCTGGGGGCGGCCTTCCAGGTGCCACTGCAGCGCGGCCACGTGGCAGGGAGAGTAGGCGCCTCTGAGCAACTGGAAGAAGGTCGGTGTGCCTGGCATGACACACACATAAGGGAGGGAGGCTTGGCCACGTAGCGCCCAGTGGACAAAATGGGGACTTTTGGTGCTTCGTTTGAAGAACAATGAAGAGCTGTCATGTGTGCATTGTTTTTTTTTCTAAAGATTTATTTATGCATACAAGAACTGGGGTACAGGCCAGAGGTGCGGGGGGAGGGGCCAGAGACAGGGTGGGGAACAGAACAGGTGGATGGACTGAAATACACTGCTGAGGGGAGCAGCGGGCGAGTCAGAAGAGGTCTGCTGAGCCATGTGGGTAGCTCCCTGGACGGGACTCGAACTCATGCTGCAGTGGCTGTGGATAACTTCATAGTTTGTGTCTTAACCCCCTTGCGCCACCAGGGAGGCCCTCATATGTATTTTAAAAAGCAGCTTTGGCTGCAGTCTGGAGAAAATTTGGGGGGTGGGAGGCATTGGTCAAGAATGGGTGCCCACACCAGGGTTAGAGCTCTGTGGCCAGACTCTCGGTTGGCCATGTAGAAGCTTGGGCTAGAGTGGGGCAGAGACATGGAGACAAGTGAACTGGTGTGTGAATCATGTTAGAGATAAAAGAGATTCCAATGAAATTAGATTAATTGGCCCAAGTGAGGGAGAGTGTCCAGGACAATTCCTGCAGTTGCTGCCTCCCAACAGGGCGGCAGTGGTACCTCTGTCTAAGCAATGGCAAGGCTGGAAGAGCACTAGGTTGAGGGAAGGATCCCTTGGACTTGCTGCATGTGGAGTGATAGCAAGGTATCCAAGTGGCTGAGTCAAGCAGGCAGTTGGATATACGGGTTTGGAGGGCTCATTTGTGAGTCACCTGTGCTGAAGTGTCAGTGGGGCCGAGGGTGTGGAGGGCCAACCCTACCGAGGGCAGCCCTGAGCGGCAGGGACTAAGCTTTGAGGAACTGAAGCAGTTATTGGTTCAGAAGTGGGGCTTGGTCCTGCAAGGGAGACAGAAAGAGCAGCCTGAGAGGTAGGAAGACCAGAATGGCCAACGGTAACCAATTTGCTGAGCAGGCAAGCTCAGGAGGCCCAGGAGTGCCCACTGGATTCAGTGCCAGAAAAGTCATCAGAGACTTGAGCAAGAGCTGTTACCAGGACACAGGTTCTCAAGCTCCTCCCTCCCCACTGCCGTGACATTTGGAGATGTCTAGAGACATTTTGGCTGTCACAACACCAGATGGGATTGTTCTACCAGCAAGTGGAAGGTAGAGGCCAGAGATGCCGCTGAACATTTACAAGGCCCAGGACAGCCTCTCACAACCAAGAATATTCTGACCTCAGCTGTCAATAGTTCCGTGGATGAGAAGGCCTGCAGTGATGTGGTGGGATAGAGACCTCACTGGAACGTTTCGACCAATCCTGTCACTTCTCAGTTTGATTAGCACTAGGCCAAGAGGGTTTTGTAAGTTCCTATATATTTGCTCTTCCTCCACAGTTCGTGAGTCTCTGCCCCCAAAACAGTAGAATTTCCTAAGTGTGGAGAATGCTAAAAAAAAAAATCTTGTTATGTTAATAAGGTGATTTTTGGAACCACCTGAGGATGTCTCTACCCCCTAACCCCCAACTTCTGTGGAGGGGAAAGGGACTGGAGGTTGACTCATATTCTAATGACCAGTGGGCTACTCAGTCATGCCTCTATCATAAAGTCTCCTCAAAGGCCCAAGTGGACAGGGCTTGGAGAGGTTCCAGGTTGGTGATTGCAATGGGGAGCCCCTCCCCTTGCCCTGTGTGTGGCTTCCATCTGGCTGTGCCTGAATTACATCTCGTTGTAATAAGACAGTGATGTAGCAAAGTGTGTCTCTGGGTTCCGTGAGCTGCTCTAAGAGCTTATACCCAAGGAGGGAGGAGATGGCGGGAACCTGTGAGTCGTGGCCATGGGTCGGAAGTACAGGTCCTGGGCCTGCCTCCAGCATCTGACAGGGGCAGGGTGCAGTCTCAGAGGACCCAGCCCCTCTAGCTAGGTGACTGGCAGAGTGAAGGCCAGAGTGAGTTTGTTATGAGAGGTCCAGAAAGGGAGTTTGTTCTTTAGAGAGACATTAACATCCTGTAAAAATCCAGCAGAGGATGCCTACTGGGAAATACTGCCAAGAAATGGCCGAGTCCAGTCCTGGCTTGCTGACCCACCAGACAGGCAAAGGCGGTGCCAGTAGGCTCAGGCCGCTAGCCAGGTTGAGGCTGCCCCATCCAGGGTGGTCTCGTTACCTCTGTGGTGTGGGCACAATGACCAAGTCGCGTATGGACGGCATCCTGTCATTAAACGGTCCGTGGCTGTAGAGGAGAGAGAAGGTATGACCAGTGCGCTTTGAGGTCACCTGAGGAGGTGCAGGTGGAGACACTGAATCTCGAGAAGAGGAGGCAGGTCAGCCTTTCCTCTGTCACCGGCAGGATATCCCGCAGGTTGGGAGCAGATGGAAGTGGGGAAAGTGTAATTGACCAAACAGTGCCTGCACCCCGTGACCCCCCGGAAAGATCCCTGTCTGAATCCTGGAACCTATGAGAAACTTATTTTATGTGGCATGAGAGATTTGGCAGATGTGCTGCAGTTAAGGGCCTGGAGCTGGACAGATTATGTGGCACTGTTGGGTGGGCCCAGCGCCATTACAAGCACGTTGGCAAGAGGAGGACAGGAGGGTCAGAGTCAGAGGAATGAGCCTGGAAGGAGTCACCCTGTTGGTCTTGACGGTGGATGGAGCCAGGAGCCAAGGCATGTGGGCAGCGTCTGGCGGCTAGAAAAAGTAAGGAAACAGATTCTTCCTTGAGCCTCCAGAAAAAAAGGCAGCCCTGCTGACATGTTGATTTTAGGACTGACCCCCAGAAGCATGAGAGAATAAATTGTTTGAAGCTGCTGTGTTTGTGGTGTTTGTCAGCCACACTCGGGCCATGGGTCTTGTGTTTTGGGCGGATGTCTGCACTGAAATGTGTGGACAGAGGTGTCCTGGGATGCAGAGCAATGAGAAGGCAAGGTCAGGTTGGGTGAGTAGAACTCGAGATGCCCAGGGGAGCGTCTAGGGGCATGTGTGTGTGTGTGTGTGTGTGTGTGTGTATGTGTATGTGTGTATCTGGAGCCCAGGGGAGAGCTAAGCATATCAATATATGCAGCTGCAGCCCTGGCAGGGCCGGGGTATGGGCTATGTGCTGCAGAGGCTGAGGAGCTTGAGGACAGAGAGTGGCTGGGCCCAGGCAGCACCCAGGGCCCATCTCCCTGGCAGCGGGAGTTTGTCAGGCAGATGCCACATTGCTGTGGGTTGAGATGTGAGTGGGAGGTGAGGAGAGGGAGCCAGCAAGGGTGTCTGGCGTGTTTTAAAAATCTGGTGG